TAAATTGAGAATATTTGGAGTCTGACAGAGTAGTCAAGACCACTCAGCACATAATTGTCTCACGTGTGATTTTTACATCCTAGACCACATCCTAGGGTGCTGTGACTACTATGACACTTGTGGAAAAATAGGCTCCTCAAGGGTATTTCTGAGCATCAATTAGAAGCCTCCGAAAAAAATAGCTCTCTTTCTAGGATAAGCTTCCTAGATCTTAGTCTAAACAGGGAAATGAGTGTCTGTATGAGAGGCAATAATTGAATATACCATGTGAATAGCTATTATAACAACAACTTGATTTAATGAATAATAGTTTAACTAGTAAAATATGATCTTACAGGCATTGATTACAATACGTTTCACTTCTCGCTCAAGCCAGTATGAGGAGAAAGTGCAGTTCTACCAGTGAAACCACCCTCTTCTTTCTTGACTCTTTGGAGTTCACACAAATTTATCAGTAGCTCTGTATCAGAGTCCTATCTGTATCTTGCTTGACCAGTAAATACAAATACTTTACACTCTCCCTTCACTGAACTGCCTTTTTTGTATTTGGCTTGTGACAACATATGGAAATTTTGTATCTTTACAAGGCAGAGCCCATTGTCAAATATGGCATGAAAATGCTACATAGTCTTCACAGGGAAAGTTATTTTTTTCTTCTCCACAGAGAGATGCTCCTGCTCACGTTAAATTCTGCCGTATGTTGATTTTTTCCTTATTTCTTTGCAAGCTGGAAAACAGTGAGCTCTGCCCACTCCTTAAATTTTGCTCCTCCCAGTAAGGAGAACTGAATCAGCATCAGATTTTCAGGCAGGGTAAGCAAGAAGTAATCCTTAACCAGAAAGTATCCCTAGAGCTGCCAATGGGAGCCCTTGAAGGAAAGAATGGCATTCATTCACATTTTTATTCTTACATGTGTTATGATCATGATAATAGCAGAGCTATTATTTCTCAACGTAACTGGCTCAACTCAACTCTGTCAACTGGATTATGGTCCTCCAGAGTTTGCTTTCCTGAAAATGAGATAAGCTATCTGATTATGTCAGTGAGGAAACAACAAGAAGTCCCATTAAGCAATGTGTTCACATCTGGTTATTTGCTTTACCATGTGTTTACAGTGCAGGTGCATACCTGGCCACAGAAACTCTGATTATAAGCGTATGAGTGTTGATGATAAATGTTCCTGGTGCATAACTTGGCAGATGAGATTCAGTATGGAATAATAGTTATGGAGTTAACCTGGCTTCAAGTATGCTGGGGAAGCACACATAATGAACTGGCAGTTTTATTTGTCATCAAACTACATCACAGCCAAGAGTGCTGCTCAAGGAGCAGTACGTCTGGAAGCATCCTCCTTGGCAATGTGATGCTTTAACATCAATGGATAGCTAAGCAGAGCTACTGTCTCACTCCTCTTTCTTAACAAAACAGATGATAAATTTCTCAGAACTGCCTCCTTTCCAAGATGATGGTGTTCCTAAATTTCTTGTTTTATCAATAGGGTCTTCAGAATGTCTCCAGTTGTTAGGATGCCACCTGCATCCCACAGAGATGTCCCTGGTTCCCAGGCCAAGCTCCAAGGCCAAAATCCTAGCTCCTACACCTGGTTTCCAGGGTGGCAGTCAGTTTCTCCTGTAAGTATTTAGCAGCCATTTTATGCCAATATTTTCTCAGTATACTCAAGCTAGTCCTGTAGTAACTCCCATCAATTAAATAGAAATATGAAAATATTATATATAGAGAAATATGCCATATCCAGGTCAAGTGAAAATATATCCTCAAAGTTCTTCATAAAACATTACTAGGTATATGTAGTGGAAATGCTAAGTCACAGCTTGAAATCACAGCTTGGAACATTTATTGAGTACCTGATAGGAAGAAAGAGGAGCTGAGGTTCATGTAATGCATCTGAGTGACTGGAAGGGGTGGAGCCAGGATCTAACCCTTCCCAGACCTCATTTAAAGGTCGGCAGTGAAGAGAAGAATATCTTGTTAGAGATCCCTGTATACCTGAGGTTTCTGAAGGTAAGCTTTTTATTTTTATTTTTTCCTCTCTCCTTATTTCTTTGCCTATGGCTGTTGCTTTTGAGGGAACCTTCACTTGCTGCAGCCTGGGATCTTGCTACTCTGCTATCACTGATGCACTTTCAACTGTGTTACACTTAGTGAATCAGGCAGGCATAATAGCAGCATATGTATTTAGGACTTTTTTTTTTTTTTTTCTTAAAAGAACAGTGTGTTGGCTGGTTGTTGGGACTCTGTAATGCCCCACAGGAGGAACTTCCTAGGTGAAACCCTGAACTTCCTGGATTCCCAATAGCTGAGCTCTGTACGGATTATTATTATTGCTATGCTACATGGTCTCATTATCAAATCCCCTTTCAAGGTGGCAGAATTTTTGAATAAATTTGAACAAATATTCTTAAGAACTAGGAAAGAGTTATAGTGATTTCCTCTATAGCATGTCTGCTACTGCTAGCAATTAATGTGTATCACTCCTTTGAGGAAGGATTGAAAGATGAAAATGAGCTTTTAAAAGCCCATATCAGACAACTGAAAAATGAAGTTGCACTTCTGAGGGGGCAAATTTCCTCACCTTTGACTCACTGGAATAGGCTGCCCAATGAGGCTGTGGATGCCCAATCCTTGGAGGTATTCAAGGCCAGGCTAGATGTGACTCTGGACAGCCTGGTCTAGAGGCTGGTGACCCTGCACATAGCAAGGGGGTTGAGACTAGATGATCATTGTGGTCCTTTTCAACATAGGCCATTCTATGATTTTCAAGTGTCATTTCCCCTCTAAAATGAAGAACTACATCATTAGAAAGGGAAAAGGACTTAAATCAACAGGATCCTTTGATCCCACTTGAATCTAAAAAAAAGGAAAATTAAGATGACTAAATTCCAACCAGAGGATCCAGAAACTTCAAATCCTCTAGAAATAAGACCAGTGATAAATCAAAAAACAAAGAAAGTCCAAGGTAGACGAGCACGATTGCCACCTCAGAAGTGGCCCCCTGCCCCCGCTGCATTACATGTGACATGCACCCATACATGACCACCAAACTCGTGGATATATTACAATGATTTAAACAAAAATCATTAGAGAGCATACCAGCTTGGTTCTTGAGATTATGGGACTTCAAGGCCAAAAGTGTGGTTATTAATGGACCAGAGATTTCTGAACTTGCATCCATCACCATACATCTGGCCCTCAGACAAAGACTGTATGTGACTGTAATGCATAATGATGAAAATAACTCTTTAATCTAATGGATAATGGCTGTGTGTAGGATTGTGTGGCGAAATAATAGCGAAATCCCAATAAATAGCATTCTATGGACTTTGAGGGAGAAACTTCAAAGTTATATCAGAGAACCGGGAATGAAGGAAGCGGTTTAAGATGACAACTCTGAGAGTCCAGATCTGGTGAAATTCTCCTCAGTGATGAGGGACCTCATCTTAGAACAAGAGCCTCCCTACCAGTGGCTCACTAATGTCCGTAATAAACCCTTTGGTAGCCTCAGAGGCTGTTGTTCAACAAACTACCCAGTTGGTGGCTGATCTAGGAGAAGGAGTGCCTTTGGACCAGGCACGATATCCAGATGTTGGAAGGAGCTGAAGTCCTCACTGTAACTAAAACTAGGAGACCTGCCCCACAGACTTCTCAACTGGGATCCATACAGGTGTCCCAAAAACAGGTGTTTAATGATTTAATCCAGGCTGGGGTTTTATTGGCAAAAATTGATTGCCAGACAAATCATTCCTCTTTCAGCTATGAAGGCAGCTGGAGGGAAGTCAAAAACTACAGAACACCCTCAACAAAACAGGGGTAAGAATTATTGGGCAAGTACCAATGAGAAAATGGAACTTAGGAGATTTCATAGTTGTTAACAATAGGAAAAAGCCTCCTCAAGTGACCTGAGCTACCTGAGGAAAAAGAATAGGCAATTGCACAGTTACTTGTGTGATGGGGCATGCCAGCCCCTCTGCACCTAGGTTCTCTGGCCTGAATTAAATATTTTTTGGTCCTGGAAGGATGTACCACAAGTGATGGCATTAATAAACAAGGGTGCAGAAACCTTAATTATTTATGGTGATCCAACTAAATTTCATGGAGACAGGGTGATGATTGGTGAGTTCTGAGGATGGACCATCCCCATAACACAGATATGATTGAAGCTGGGCATTGGGCATCTCCCAGCTTGGGAGTGTATTGTGTCTGTTACCCCAGTCCCAGAGTAGAATCCTGAAGATGCCTGGTGTACGGATGGATCCAGCAAGTGTAACCCAAGTAAGTGGAGAGCAGTAGCATGCCATCCCTCTACTGAAACCATCTAATTTGAAGAGTGGTATGGTCAGCCCTGTGGGGCTGAGCGAAGAGACTCTATGAAACCTTGTGGGACCCGTGTGAAAGGCCTAGAGACAGCAGACTCAGTGCCCTGTAGATGCTACAGACAACATGGGTGTCTCCACTTAGGATCCCAATTATGGGCACTGATAATTGGGTCAGACCCCAAACTTGCAATGAAAATAATCTTCTGCTCCCTGCCCCTGAGAACCAGGTATCAATGAAGTAGAGTGACCTTGGAAGATGCAAGTAGGACTAAAGTGGTGTGGCTTATTTGCATGTTGGGGGAGATCACTGGAGGTTGGGAGATAAGTAGTTCCTCTGGTAATAGGTACATGGCCTGCAGACATTGCCATCAAGACTCCTCATCTCAAAGGAGACTTTAATTCATGTCCCTATGGCAAATCAGGAACCCCCTCTTCCACCCCTACTTTGATACCCACTATGGGTATGCAGTCTCAGATATAGAGCCAAAGGATATGCTACAGACAGCTGTGACATGCCCCAGTACAGAGAAGACAGGAAGTCCTGTAAGTTATATCCTAAGGAAGATGGTCTTTCAAAAGCTTCTGCGCATACTGTTCTCAGGTTTTAACCAAACAAGGAAACCCTGAATAATCCTCACCACAAAGATAGTGTGTCATTTGTTATTCACAACGCTACCACCAGCAATAAGCCCCTCTTGTTTGGATTTTATAATGAAAGCATAGTTGTTCCCAAGGAGATTGATAAATTACAAATGTAGGAATTCTCTTTCCCTTTTTCATTCCAAAGCGAGACCAATATTTTGCACTTCCATATTGCTTTATCAGTTGAGAAATAACCATTTTACACATTACTCTTCTTGTACCACATGTTGATGCCAATAGTGAAATGACGATCTCGATGGTGACACTAGAAACGCAGACATTCCGCATATATGGTCACAGGTACAACTTTCAAATTTTATTGGAGGTTTTGGTTCCTTCAGATTTGAGATTATCTGTTGATAATGTCTAAAAAGGTGAACAATATTTCTATTGGTTCCTTCATAACGCTCATGCTAGGATGTGAACCTATATATTTCCTCCTTCGTAGTTATTTGTGAGGCAGAGAGAAACGCGTGCAGAGAGTTTGGGCTACATAGTGCCTAACAAAGAGTTTTCATCTGGCCACGGAAAGGATGGCAATGAAAGGATGTCTTTCAGCTTTAGTGTTGTGGCTCCTTCTCCTCACCGTTCAGGTTTCCCTAGGTAAGTACATTAATTTGCATAAGGCACTTGTCTAAGGAAGAGAATGTGAATTCAGTATAAATTAGTTGTTATTCCATTAGTCTGCAAGACAAAATGTCAAAAAAGTGTTTAAATACAATTGTATTAAATTCAGACTCCTTGGTGATCCTGGCAGAAAAAAGAATAAGCCATTTGTAAGAGTTCTATATTTTACTGAGATATTAGCTACCTGACATTTTTACCGAGTTCAAGTCCAAGTTCAGTGAACAGTTGAGCTGTAATGGAAGCCTACTGGGTATTTTTTACTACTTTGTGTAGATGGAGTGAATAACTCTAGGTCTTTATTTAAACCCAGTTAAAATGTTGCTGTGTGCAGTGGTGTTTGACTGGGTAGTATCTTCCATTCCATTGTTCCTGTGTGTTTGAATTTTAACATTAGTTATCTCCATGCTGTTGTAGGGCTACATGTATATATTTGAAACTAACAATAAGAACCAGATTTTGGAGTCCATATTTTTGTCTCTATGGAGTTAGTAACATGACACTGTGCCTGATGGTAGCACCCCCGTATGATGAAAATAAGATTTCGTGGTTGATGCTTTCTTTAATGTAGCAGAGACCTAGCCTTAGAGGTTCCCACCAGTTGTGTGGATGCAAATGGATGGGAAGAAGTGGCATGGGACTTTCTGTGTAAAGGAATGTGAACAGCAATATTACATACTTGTATTTAGACATCTCTGTAGCAGAACTGTACTAAAGAGTAAGTTATCTGCCAACTTTATGATAAGAGGAAGCAGTAAAAGAGTGTCTTGCAATGTAGACAGGAGTAGTTTTACACTGACACTCCATTATCAACACCGACAACATGTATCTGCTCTGGCTCTGACCATACTTGCATATTCCACGCTACCACAGCCCCCTGTTTGTCCACAGGGACTTTGCAGAGTGCAGACAATATCAGAAGCACAGACATCAGAAGTGAGCTGAAATCTTGACACGCACATGCGCACTCTGGGAACAGGACTCATTCTCATCCCTGGTCTGTGAGGGGAACCAGGTCTTTAACAGGAACAAGCCCAAATCTTACACCCTTTTACCCAAGCAGAACCTCATCCTGTAACTAGTAACACTGAATTTAAAGTTGGTCCTTGTTAGGATATGCTGTGGAGTGTGAGTGGAGGCAATATGTCTATAGGTAACATAAAAAAATCACAGTAGATTGATTTCAACAGATGACAGTTTCAATTAGAGTATATTAAAAATTGTTGGGTATGTTTTGTCTAGCTTTGCCTCTGCATTCAGCCTTGCATTCTGTTGTGTGCTGAAAACAGTATGTCAGATTACTTAAATATTCAGGTGCAGATTAATCAATTGAGGATCTGTTTGTTTTAGCCCTGAATGTGGCTAATAGAAATAGGTTATCTGGTTCTTTTAATAATGCATGATGATTTTAATTCATAAATGATTTCTTTGTTAAATGTTTGTTTTTAAATACATCTCAAGTACAAAGGCTTTTTGTAGCTCTCTGTGCTATGTATTGGAGAGAAACTCAGGACATTTGAGAAAAGAAGACAGTCTGTACAAAAATATGTTCAGACATTGTACTTGTCATCCACTTGAACAATCTCCCTTAAACTCTTCATGTTTCTGAATCTAAATGACAGGAAATTGTGGGGAAGTGCAGTGGTATTAGCACAGAAGTAAAACTTTGCCTGTGTACAAGAGCAATTTTATGTCAGTGCCGTATTGTCTGCCTCTGAACCAGGAGACAATCAGACTATATGCAGACGGAGACAATTGCATTTTAGTCAACTACTGCTAGCAATTTGCTTTGGAAAGAGATTATCATTAGTTGCTGAAGGAAGTAGCTTTATCAATTTCTGCGTTAGCACTGACATGGGGAATTGAGAGGAATTGATCTTGTTTTAAAATGAAAAGCAAAATTATTTGTTTCTGTTTCACAGTGTCAAATGACAGCAAGAGTTGTGATCTGTAGGAACATCTCTCTCCTTTGAGGAAGAGACAGAATGTGATGCTTCCCAATCCGTATTGTTTTGAGAACTCTTCCAGGAAAACCTGAGGATCTTATTACAGTTTAATTGCTTTTTTGTTGCTAATCAGATACTACCATTGATTAACTCTGAGAAGTGTTTTTCTAGACTACTTGCAACTGTCACTTCTCTAGAACTCCTACAAGTACCCTTCAAGGGTACAGCAAGGGCCATCTGCTCCCATGATAACATGGCCAGCAGGATGTAGGACTCACCAGTAAGGGCCCAGGCTCACAGAACCCAAGAGAGGCAAGCAAGGCAGTGGTGAGTTTCAACTAAGAGCCCAGATCATTAGCAAGTTTGTGGTAAAGGGGCACATCCAAAGTCAGATTGGAGGTCACAATACAGATCAGGGTAAGCTCCAGTGATGGTAGCAATCTGTGGGTCAGCATGCATATTATAAAGGCTGTGGCCAGACACAGTTGTGTATAAGTTGGATGCAAGCACACCTACACTGCATCTCAGGCAGTGACAAAAGTTGCAGACATATTCTTAAATGGAGCCCCAAGGATATGGGCAGGGCGCATGGGTGAAGACCCCAGCTGAGGCAAGTCAAAGCCAATAAGATTTGTTAGTGAACTCAGCACTGACAATCAGATCAAATTTTACTTAAAAACTTTGGATCAATTTTCCATTGTAAGCTAGGTTTTGAAGTTACTAGCATCCATCAGAGATTTTCACTTTCCTTTACATGTTGAAACTCATATCTGATTTAGATGTTTTAGATGAATCTCTGGTTCTTGCAAGTACTTTTACTGTCTTTCACCTGGAAATACAGAGGTCCCACATATGGTAGGGTTTTTGTCATTTTAATTTTCAGCCATGTTGTCTTCTTTGGAGATGACAATTCACATAGGTTTTTTATCCTTTTAAGTTTTCTCTTTGAGAAGGGGACAGATCATAACCAACAAGTTTATTCTAAGGCGTAGTGGAGATGCTAAGTCATGGCCTGAAACAGTGACTGAGCACCTGGTGGGAAGGCAGGGCCAACTCAAGGGAGCTGAGTGAGTGGGAGGAGTGTAGCCAGGATCCACCCTTTCCCAGACCTCATTTAAGGATTGGCAGTGGAGGTGAGAGTCTCTTACCAGAGAACCCTGCCTACCTGAGGCCTTCCAAAGGTAAGCAACGCTTTTCCTTCATTTCTGCGTCTGTGGCTGCTGTATCTGGGCTCGTTCTCATTTGCTGCAGTCAAAGACTTTGCCACCCTACTATTATCATCCCTTTTTAGTATTACACAAGGACCCAACATTGGTAACAGATGAGCATGAGTACTGAATGATTTAATTGTCACTGAGCAAACTTAAATTTAGAAAATGTGCCCCAAGACTCCTAATTCCAGAACAAAATCATCAGAGCTCCTTTTTCTAAGAAATATAAAATGCCTCTCAACTATTTCAGTATTGTGTGTAATTCAAATACGCATGTATATCAAGCAAATAATTGCATGCTAGTATTCATTTGAGGTTAGTCTCTATCCCAAGGTTTAAGGCTTGTTATCACTGCTTTAATCTCTCACTACTTGATAAAACTGTTCTTAAAAATCCCTTCTTCTGCAGGCACCAATTACTTACGCTCTGAAAGTAAAGGATGTCAATGCACCCTGCTCTTTGTAAATGGGATGTTTATGGAAGTCAAAATCTTTAAGTAGTTTGTTAGCATTGTGGAATATTATTAGACTCCCCTGTTTTTTCTTATTCTGCTGAACTTCTTCCGTGATTTTTATCTATCCGGTTACAAAACAAGGCAAAAGTATAGCAGCCTTAGGGCACAAACCATGTATTGTTTCAGTTGCAAATGAAAA